GTTGCTTTGAGAATCCCGGATCCAGTCTTTGTCATTTTAATGAGACATTTTGTTTTGAGGAAACTCTAAATGTTTGTTTGTTCCCCAAGACTTTTGTTCCTATTTTCAAACATGTCTGTTTATGTAAAGGCAAAACTGGATGTAATCAAATACCAAGTACCGTATTTTCCGGATTGTAAATCGCTCCGAAATATAAGTTGCAAAGCCATAAAATGCATAATAAAGAAGAAAAAAATAAACATATAAGTCACACTGGAGTATAAGACGCATTTTGGGGGGGAAATGTATTTGATAAAATCCAACACCAAGAACAGACATGTCACCTAGAAAGGCAATTTAAAAATAAAATAGAGAACAAGAGGCTGAGTAAGTGTACGGTATGTGAACGTTACATAACGTATAAACAACGAATTGAGAAGGTACCATAACATATTACGAATTATTCAGATAACATTCGAATTAAAACAAAACAAAACATGCTAACAGGATTACGAGACCATCAATGTGACTCCAAATCACGAAATCCAATGAAATCTTCATCCTCTGTGTCACTTTTAAACAACTCCGAAGGTAGAAGATGCGGAGCTTCCTCTTCTACGTCGCTTACGTCAGACTCATCATCGATTTATCAACACAGGCCTCAGCGCCCTCTTGTGGTTTCATGTGAAAATAACACGTGAAATGATATAATAATGTGTTAATAAATTCACACATAACTTGCTCCAGAGTATAAATCACCTCCCCAGCGATTTATAATCCGGAAAATACGGTAATAGTAATTATCGGCATGAAAATTAAACACCCAAACCAAATATAGATTTAAAAAAAAAGACTTCACATAACACACATATGTTAGCCAAGCAATCATATTTTACCCCCTGCTGGACGGTGTGCAGCTAAGGTGACTTGGTCTGAAATTAGTGCTACGTAACTGGCAGGTTGCCTGACTTCCTCACTGCATGAGCAGTTGACCTGCAAGTTACTGCTGGTTCACTGCTCAGATGTCCTCCAGGCCAAATATCAGACTTCACCAGCAGCTTTGCTCGCCGAATGGCGGTGCACGGGGAGATTGTGTGTCCTGCGGACTGACTGCATGACAGGTCAGTGGGGTGAGTGGCTGGATATACGACCCACTGCGCTTGATATTGTGTTAGCTGTGAGGCTGAATAACTGGGTGGGTGCAGCCAAGTGGTGGTGCTATAAATTTCTGAGTTGACATCTACTGAGGACAGCAATAGATAGAAGAATGGGGAGAGAAAAACACCTGACCGTCGCAGTGCAGTAATAATTTCCCCAGTTATGACAGCAGGGCAGGGTTAATTTCATCAACAAACTGTATTGTTTTATGACCTCTTGCTTATTGAAATATAATGGCCATAAACTGCCGAGACACACATTTTCAATGATTGAAACGCTATCGCTGCCCCATTCTATAACGTGTCATTTCAAACAATTATGTCTTTTGATGCTATCAAATACGGAATGTGCATGTGTGAGCTTTGTTTCGTTTACATTTTGCTTTTCAACAGGTACCACTTGACTATGGTTGATGCCAGACATCATGTGAACGGAACAATCTCAAAAATGCACACATACCATCTACCGTAGTCCGATTTGCACGAATCCAAATATGAAAGAAACCCAAATAACTGATTTTTTTTAATGTCTATGTTTTACGCACTTGACAGCTGAACATGGGCCAAAAAGGTCTTCCTTTCAACAGCTGTGACATCTTTCTGGGAGATTGTCTGTTGAGCTGACGTTGTTTTGGGAACATGATTGATTGCTCAAAGCAGCACAGTGTGCCCGTGGTTCACACCTCTGCCTCACAGTTCTGCCATTCTGGTTTTCCCAAATTCTAAAAGCATGCGTCTTAGGTTCACTGAAGACTCAAAATTGTGAACGTGGGTGTGAATCATTGTTGTCTATTATGTGCGCTGTGATTGCCTGGTAGACCTTGAGTGTACGCTGCCTCTCATCCAAAGTCAACTTGGACAGGCTGCAGCTCCCCAGGAACACTAATGAGGAGGAGTGGGGGATATAAAATGGATAAAATAGCATTTTGCTGAAAAACCTTTTGAGTCCTCCTTTGCCAAATCACCCAACCAAGCAGATTTTGATTTTAATTTGAGAGATTACATTTCATGAAAAAAAAAATGTGGTCCAAAAAGTCAATTTCAACATTTCAGATTTGGAATTTACATTGAATTCCTTTTCCAACAAAACCTGTTTTGTGAAGATTGACCCCAGTAGTTCCTGAGATATAAAGCTTCAAAAAAGATGGCCACGCCCTTTTTTGCAGAACATGTTAAAATTTGGTGGGCCGTAGCTCCCAAACCACTGCTCCGATTGATCTAAAATTTGAGATTTAGTGTTGTGCCATCATCATCAACAAGTACACCAAGTTTCTTTGAAATAAAAATCTGCTTGGCTATAATATTCAGATTTGACATGGAACAACCCTTTATGCTATTATTCGAGTACTATTTTACATACAGTAGCTGTCTTAAACGATGAATTTGTGGCTACAGCATGCCCAATTTAGGCTTGAATCTTCAGCTACCGGTAGACATATCAGAAAGGTAGCCATTTAACATGCTAATTGAGTTTTGGTTATTCTAAAAACCAGAAATAGCTGGACACGTGAGGGAAAGGACAAAGTTTGAGGAAAACAGTGTTTCCAAAAAAAAAAAAAAAAAAAAAAAAGATTGTGAAGACTTAAAAAAAACAGACAGATGGTTCTTTGTTATCCTCTTGATAACACTGTGCGTTAAACATAACAAGCCCCTGGTGTGAGTAATAAACGCTGCATAAAATGCCACTATCGTCACGACGGTAATCACGACAAGTGTAGCCTGTCGAGGTGTCACGATCGCTGTCGCTGTGCAACACTTTTTCGCCGAGGCACGTTGCGTCGGCGGCGCTTAACAAACACACAAATGGAACGCCGGCGTGACAGCAACCAACATAAACCTAAACTATTATCAGGACAATTACAATGACAACTACCAAGGAGTAAAAAGGGTTACGCGCACAAACTTGGAATTGACCCTCTCTGAATAATTGCACAATGCAAATGGCACTGGCTCCCTCTATTAATCACACACACACACACACACACACACACACACACACACACACGCACACTCGTGCTCGAGACCACTACAAGTGTCATTCTGCTGCACAAAATTACGAGCGGTGAAAAGACATTTTAACATGCATCTCACTCACCCGTTTGCATCATTCATCCTCATGACATGATGTAGCATCACATAAAATGCTCAGCAATTGGGTATTATTGCAGCAGTTGGCAATTCATCATTTCCAGTGAGATTAACCCAACTGTCGCGCCTCCATACTGACTCATTCATCAAATATTTGCATGGAAACGTGACATGTGCCACAGTTTGCATGTACTCGCACGGTATTCATGACTCATTCTCGACTGCGTGAGCTTTAAGATGACAGGCGCATGGAGTAATAATAGCCTTCGCCATCTCAGTGGGGACGTGATTGTGCCACGTGCTTACGTCTTACCTTTAATTTCAACGCATCATCATTTGTATTGCCTTTTGCATACTACCTGGTTGACCTTGCCCTGGGGTTATTGCTTTATTAGAAGTCGTAAAAATAGAAAGAGCACAATATGTTCAAGTGGATCTATTCAGTGCCAGGGAAGTGATGAATGAAGCTGCCCCAAAGTCTGTCATTTTTGGCGGTGCTATGAAGTAGCGGGCCATATGATTGATGCTAAACAGATATCAGCTTGTACCCTCTCGAAAGGTAGCAGCTGCCTAATAATCCCAGTGTTCTTGGGGGACTTCATGTTTAAATTTGATTTAAAATCTCCCAACTGGTTGCGTTGCCTTCAAAAAGCTCATTTCGTGTTCAAATTTAAACAAAGGCGCACACTCGTGTTCTTTCGGTTGACCGTATTACTCAAAGAGTGACGTTTATTTACTGAACTTTGTCTGAGAGGAGATCAATATTTGTACGTAGGGTATACTCGTGCCGAGATGCTGATCTCAGTTGATTTGTCTGCAAATGGTTATTTTAATAGGAATAGCATGCGCAACGGGCAAAATTGCGTTTATTCAAGTTTGCACTTGCTGCACGTAGAAGAGGTGCTGATATCATATGTTGTGGGCTGGCTTCAGTAAAAAGAAAGAAGTGCTACTTTGAGACGCGACAGAATGGGTGGGGAACAGAAGGGCACTTTAAAAAAAAAGAGCATATGGGTTTGCGACAGACTTGTGTTCGTTGTTAAATTTGATCAGGGTGTAGCATACCCAATGGTGCCATTGGGAACCAAATTAAACTCACCAAACTTGTCCACATTTTTTGGGTGAAAACAGGAAGAGGACTTATATTAAAAATTATCTTCCATCCATTTTTCAAGCCGCTTATTCTTACAAGGGTCGCGGGGTTGTTGGAACCTATCCCAGCCGTCTTCGGGCAGTCTGCGGGGTACACCCCGAACTGGCTGCCAGCCAATCGCAGGGCACACAGAGACCAACAACCATTCGCGCTCACAATCACACCGATGGAAAATTTAGAGTGTTCCATCAATCTGCCATGAATGTTTTTGGAGTGTGGGAGGAAACCGGAATACCCGGGAAAAACCCACACAGGCACGGGGAGAACATGCAAACTCCACACAAGAATGCCAGAGCTGGAATTGAACCCACAGCCTCTGCACCGTTAACCAGCTGACCACCGTGCCGGCAAAAGAATCAAATGGTCTTAAAAAGTACATTCCACATAACCCAGTTTAGCCAGAATCCAGTTCATACTGCAAGCTTTGTGGAAGCATAAATGTAATGGAGTATAAGCATGTTTTACTTGTATGAGAGGCATTTTCATTGCACAATATGGATACATCAATTTGGTCTGTTGTTTACTCTCTGCAGAAGCAATAACCAAAGTGCCCTGCCGGGATGATTAAAGAGTCATGACTGTTTGGCAAGCAATATTTGGCGGACAATTGTCTGGGTACTTACTGCCGATGCGGAGGTTGATGGTGTCACGTCTCTCTCCGTTTGGGTTCTGAAAGCAGCTGTAGAGGCCATTGTGGCCCAGGTCCACTTGGGTCAGTATCAGCCTTGGGCCTTCTAGATGGTGCTGGGCCTTCACGTCCGTCCCGTTCACCTTCCACGACACCGATGCGTCATTGTCCAGGGAGCCGCATTGCATGGTGACATCACTGCCCATTCGCTCGTACTGGTTCCTGGCAACTTGAGACACAGAGAAGCAACCGTTCAATTTTTCCGAATAATTACAACTACAATTACATGGCCACGAAGAAACTATCTGTCACAACTGTTGCTCATTTGTCAGCATTAATAAGGACATCACCTACAGTCAGAAAATGGAAGAACATGAGTTATTGCCCCCTTGCAGCAATAACAGCTTTGACTCTTCCGGGAACACTTTCAGCAAGAGTTTCAAGTGTTTCTGTGTGTGTGTGTATGTGTGTGCGCGCGCATGTGGTAATTTGTTGCATATTCATGCAGAGCTTTTTTTTTTTTTTTTATCTGCGAGCAGAGTCGTGCTAGAACTGTGGTCTCAAAGTTGGAAGAATAAAATTGTGGGCAGAGTCATACCAGAACTGTGGCGTGAAATATTTTGGTATGCTTGAAAAAAATTGAAAGCGGTATTTAGGGGTTGAGGAATTGAGAATTTTTTGCATATTATCATCATGCCCTTGTCAGTGGGTTGGAATGATGTCGGGAACGTAGCCTCCAGGATTAAGAGATAGATGTGAGCCTAATGGGAGTTTTGGTTAAGATGGTACACTTTAGAGGCCCCACGGGGACGCGTCGGGACCACACAAAGTGAAGATGTTAGATTAACATTTGAATACGAAGGATCAACAGCTCAACAAAGCCCAACAACGAAACATTGATCCTTGTCTTTGCAAAACTTCTTGTCCGGACAGAAAAGAGAAGACAAGTGGGATCAAATGTTGTGGAGGTAGCTCCCTTCTCTCCGTGTCCTCTGACATGCCTCTTAACACGGCGGATACAGATGTCAGCCACTGTTTCATGTATATTTCATGTGCCGTAACACATCCATTTATATTTCATGTGGAAAATCCCTTTCCCCATTAACATTAACGAGACATGATTCGTTGTCTCTTTTCCGTTTTCCGCTTTCCCCTCTGAGCCGTGCGTCGGCCCCTTGACCTACGCATCACTTGATTCCTGCCCTCGGAGTCACGCCTTTTCTCCCATTATCAGCCCTTCTTCACCCTGCCGCCTTTGCCAATTTGTTTGAGTCACAGTCAAAATAGTGTGTGCACATGAGTGGCACGACTTCCCAATTTGGTTTGATCTCCCACGCTCTATCAAAGGGGGAAATATGTGGCTTTATTTACATAAAAAAAACTTATTTCCATCACCATAAAAGCAGTCTGACTTTGATGTTCAGCTTTGATGCAGAGGCTGGTGTCCTTGTTAGTGGAGAAAAGAGGCGAAAGTCTTCTCGAGGACAGTTGAGTCACTTTGAAACTGTACTAAAAAAATGACCGTGAGTTGGATGGAGGGACGGATGGATGGGCTTATTGGTTCGGCAGATGCAGTGGTATTAAGTGTTATGGGCTTCTTTTTTCACCAAGCCAACCCACAATCAATACTGCTATGTCGTACTTATTCAAGAGATTAATTACTGTCTGTATTTTGTAGAATAAAGATATAGAATCATGTTCTAAATGATGCTTTGAGACTTGATATTATTTTCATCGCGGGGTGAAGCGTAACGGTCCCAAAAACATCCAACCTCCCGTGCTGAGGTTCAGACAGGTGTACCGTGTAAGATGTGTCATGCGCATTCTCCGTTATCTCGGCTTCTTGTCTTTGTTTCTTGCCTCTGTAAGTTATTCTCATCGCCTTTGGGTGCCTCCGTTCCTCTTATCTTGTTCTCACTCCGTCTTTCTCTCTGCTCACCTTCACTCCCCCTTCTCCATCATTCTTTGCTCACCTTGAAACCCCTCTCTATATTCTGCTGAAATGCTTATATTCGTCAAGTATTTGTCGAAAATTTGACATCAAGAAAAAGCCAAATGATACAAACCGTAACATGGAGTAACAGATGCGCCAATGAAGAAACTCACTCACGCATCCGCACCGACTCCTACATTGTGCTGCATAATGCCCTCATGCCTCATCACCATACGAGCAAGTAGGCCTAATAACCATAATGGCATTCAGCTCAAGTGCTATTGATCTTTTTGTAATAGACAGGGCATTGTTAGTAGCATAAGAACAATGTTATGAGCTATCAAATGCGAATGAAAATCATTAACGTCCTTCACAAAGTTCAAAGTCTCCGAGACACAAACCAGAGGCGGTAATGCAGATTTTCTTTGACGAATGTTGTAAACTAAACGGTCACAAGAAGCTGCATTTTCTTCATACTGTTGTGAAGTCGATTTTGTTTGCTACCGGCATTGTAAAAACAATAAAACACAAGAGATATATTGTTAAGCAATCCGTATATTTTATAGCAAAGATCCTCATTAGAGTCGCGGGACAGCTGGAGCCTGACTTTGGGTGAGAGGCACTACGCTGCAAACTGGTTGCTAGCCATGTCAAAAACAGACAAAGAACTAATTACAGATCATCCAACTATAGAAATTCACTTCCAGAACCATTTAGCATTAAGTTTTAAAATGATAGATTAGTGATATATTTGTATATCTCACAATAGTCCAATTATCCAAAGTATTACGACCGCCATGACACAAAGCTGTAAAGTGCCATGGCATTTGTTTATTCTATGATGAATCAAGGTTGCATCAGCACACACGCACCGTCACGGCAATTTCAGACAAAATAATCTGGTGGTGAAACGTCACACAAAAAGCTACCCTTTTTTTTTCTCGCAGCTGAATCGATGAAAATTACTGTCGAACAGGGTTAGCCTCTACTCGTTAGCTTTCCGCTAACGTCAGACTTGTCTGCTAGCTTTCACTGCGCATGTGTGAGATAACCGTTACTGGAACATATTAACAAATTGAGTTGGCGTGTGGTCAAAAATATGTCGCAACGGGTGTTTTTGCCTGTTATTCAACCGATGTATCTGAAACAATGAATATTATGAGTGTCATGAGCTCTTTTTGAATAATTTCCACAACAAAATATGGCCACTCTGTACCATCTGTGGTGTTTCTGCAATTACATTCCCGTTTATACCAAAGGTCACTTTGGAGGGTTTTTTAAAAAAAAATTTCGTGGGTGAGGGGGGCTGGGTGGGAGGGGGGTGATCTTAACATGAATGTTTTTTGGAATTTGAGAGAAATCCAGAGTAGCCAAAGATAATCCACTAAAAAAACACAGGCATTCACTGTCGGGGCGGTCTCCAAGTGCCCACTTCACTGCAGTGATCTGTGATGGCCTCGGCCAACTTTATATCATCCGCCAGTGGAGGTCTGCTTCCAGTTCCTTATAAACGTACTTTGCGGGTGTCTGCGACAATACATACACTTGGTGTAGCCCGCCCCTGCGCACAGATTCGTGCTGGGCACAAATATAGAGCCCCTAGTGTGTAGTCATGGTTTAAAGCTTTTCATGAATGCCAAGTACTGTATATTATGTATGAATTCTACAGGTTCACCCCGGGGTGTTAGTGGCCACTTAATTTTTCACCCACACGCTGTTCATTGTAGTTGATATGCAGTGTTACCACTCGTCTTTCCAGAGTGCAGCATTAACGTGCTGTAAGGTCAATGGTGCTCAGACCTGCCGCATATTACAAGCACATCTACCCAGAGGTTACCTAAAGAACACACAAACACACAGCCAGAGAACCATTTGCTGCTTATTCATTCAACATAAAGTGAAGGACGATGGGCTTTTTTTTTTTAACACTTGCAACTAGCCCTCAATTTGTACCTGAGATTTGCATGTCATTAAGATAATATAAAAAAAGTCCACCACTCTTGTAAGACTGCACATTCTTGCTAATTCTGTCTGCAACCTACATGTTAAGGTAAAGGTCATAAATAATTCCAGTCAATAAAAAACACTATTGCAGCATGGGCTGCTATTGAACCAGTAGGACAACATCAAGGAGCTTGATGTTGTTGTTTTGTTTGCATTTTTTGAACAGATATACGAAGTTGCGCTACTGAAGTAGCGCTACAAATGGTTTGATCCATAGTGTGTAGCTTTGTATACTGTGATCAGAGTTGGAGCAAGTGAATCCTCACACAGCCACACCATCCTGAACAACATCATAAGACAGATCTCAAATGGACAAAAGGTATATTCATTTGACAGGCTTCTCATTGTGGTTGCAGTTTGGATTGGTGTCGAACCGTTTTCAATTCTGGACTTACTTCCTTGCCACATGATTATTATTTTTCTCAAGGCAATGTTTTTAGATATAATTTTTTTTTTTTTTTAAGTACACCTCTGTGAAATGTTCAATTTGGGAAAGTCCAGTATGCTACTAAGCCTGCCAGTCAGCCTGCCAAAATGAACTGTAATTTCATGTGAAATGACAATAACAAAATGGTACTGTCCAGCTCAATTACCAACATTTAATGTTAATTTTACACTAGAAAAATGTTCATGAGTAGATTTTAGTCTTTTCCGAGCTGTAATGCGCGTCCACATAGAAAGGCACACGCGCAGACCAATATTCACATTGTTACACGGTTTTTGCATCTATCCAACATTGCCTCCACTAGATTAGATCAGTGATTTATTTTAATTTTGGAGCACCAACTGTACACCCAAAAATGTCAAGGCTGCGCGTGTGCAGCGTGTGACTCGCTCAATCATTCCGCATCTGTGATTTCAGTTGTTTGTGCACGCATGTTATCAGCGAGTCTCGACAAGAAATCATTGCCAAGTTATGGCATGAAATTAAATGGAGGTTTGGCATGCCGGTTTCGCATCTCAAGAGTGATATCCCGTCGTGTTGTGGCCCAAACTTTGAATGCTCACAAGTGTGTCGCGTGTATGTGTGCGTATAGTATGTGACGCTGTGTAGAGCTGCTTGTAGATTCATTGGCATGCGTGTATCAGGCGACGTGGGAGTGTGTCGCTTTCCAGCCGAGCCGTAACTCACAGGAACAGTTATCGGTGAATCACATTTGTTTGCCTAAGGGGAGTCTCGCCTTTTGAAAGTTGAACAGGAAAATATTGAATCAGCTGACATACTGAAATGCAGCCTGCCGGAATGATCAATTTTAGTTTAGAGGATCACATTTTTCACTCGGTGACTGCGC